TCCAAAAAATGTATTTTTAGCATGCCAAATAGCTCTTAGTTCTGCCGATATGGGGTCTCTCTTAGGAACGGCGGGGGAAGGGGGGAAACCCATATGTCTGAAACTGCTAATAGCAAAATTCTTTGAATTTCTGATTTTAAAAACTGTCGGTCCGGAACAGCACGGTTTCCATCTTTCTCGTTTTAAAATTTTCTTCTTTTTTAAGACTACACAATCAAAGCCCTCCTATTTGCATGATAGATAAATTCTGCAATTTAATCCAGTAAATTCTGAAAGAATAGCAGTCTTGTCTTGTCTCAGGGGTCGTTACTCAGTCCATTTCTTTTCAAGGTATTTATTAATGATATTTCTCTTTGGTTTTACTCAGTTAAATTCTTCCTCTTTGCTAATGACCTGAAAGTCTATCCTGCTATAACTTCCATTCTGCAAAACTTTTTACATAATCTTGTAGAGTAGTGTTCATGCAATGGCATGAAACTAACTGTAAATAAGTGTAAAATTGTTAGTTATAGTCTTGGACTTAGTGTTTTCTTTAACAACTACACCGCACAAGACATCCAATTGGACAGGCAAACTATCCTTAAAGACCTTGGAATCACCTAGTGTACATCACATTTAACATTTGTCCTACCTGATTGATCACTTCCTTAGCACCATATACAGAGCGTGTAGGAATGAACCAATATGAGCATTGTAAGCATCAGTGAGGTTGTTGAATTGTATATAGAAATGAGAGTTTTGTGTCCATAGCATGTGTTGGGCGTGAATGTATTTATTAGAATGAATGTGTAGTGTGAAAGGGTTGATTGTAGAACATTGAGTGCCCTGTTAGTTATATAATAGGTGTAAAGGGTGAAAGAGGAATATGTAGTACTCCACCACCCTAATTGAGTGAATGGTATGTAAATAATAGAAAACGTATTTATTAGCGTGAATGTGTATCATGAGAGGGTCGATGGCGGAACATTGAGTTCCACCCCTGTTAGTTATTCAATAGTGGTAAAGGGTGATGGTGCAATGTTGAGTACTCCACCACCCTAATTGAGTGAATGGTATGTAAATAATAGAAAAAGTATTTATTAGCGTGAATGTGTATCATGAGAGGGTCGATGGCGGAACATTGAGTTCCACCCCTGTTAGTTATGCAATAGTGGTAAAGGGTGATGGTGCAATGTTGAGTACTCCACCACCCTAATTGAACGGTATGTAAATAGAAAAAATGTATTAAAGAATTACTGCAAGTGTCAATGGGTTTACATCTAAGAACTGCATGCATTGGGAGCTGAATTGACTTAGCTGTTGACAGCACCCCCTCCCCCCGAGCCCAACCATGGCGGGTGGACGGATAAGACAAGGGTCTTACTCCAGACTGCCAATTCTCGGGGTTGGTGATTCTCGAGGTTTGACAGTAATTTATTATAAATTACAAATCCAGAAATTGCTGTTGAACTGTAAAAAATGTTTTTAGTTGAGATAAAAAAATTCAATGGCACGAGCGGGATTCGAACCCACGATCTTCGGCTAGATGCGCCGCTGCTCTACCACCTGAGCTATCGTGACCTCGATCCACTCGGACACCAAGGTCCCAATCTCAACCCCATCTTTTGAATTTTCCCTCCTTTTTGCCATTTTTCAAATGTCGTGTTATCGGATTGGATTCTCGACGACAAATGAAATGACTTTTTTATCTCAACTAAAAACGTTAATTAATTGTAATGTATTAATTGGTCAAGCGGACCACGAAATTAGTGAATTTAATGATTTAAAAATGAAGTATACTTCACTAAGGCTCTCCGTGGCCATTTCATTTGTCGTCGAGAATCCAATCCGATTACACGACATTGGAAAAATGGCAAAAAGGAGGGAAAATTCAAAAGGTGGGGTTGAGATGGGAAATTGGTGTCCGAGTGCATCGAGCTCACGATAGCTCAGGTGGTAGAGCAGCGGCGTATCTAGCCGAAGATCGTGGGTTCGAATCCCGCTCGTGCCATTGACTTTTGTATCTCAACTAAAAACCTTAATTAATTGTAATGTATTAATTGGTAAAGTGGACCACGAAATTAGTGAATGTAAAAAGTGTATTGAAATAGATGAAAATACTCAAGGCGGTGAAACAAGACCAAAAATATAGTTAAATGCCTCCAACCAAACATTTTTATCTCAACCCATTCCAGACATATGCTGTTTTAAAGGTTTTTTTTTTAGAAAACTAAGTTTTTTGTAATAAAAACCCAATTTTCTATACTTTTACACATTTTTGGAATCAGTGTTAAATATCTAAGGCTAATGTTCTTTCAATGTTGGCAAGTATCTTATTCAGGCCATAATAACAGTTAAAAAACAATACAAATTACAATAAAGTTGAATATTAAATTTAAAAATATACATATAAAGGTTGCTGCAACTGGCCACCTCCTTGCAAAACACACTGTCGACATCTGGTCATCACCACTGTTGCAGCCCTTTGAATCTCTTCATTGTTGGCTCTCATCTCTTCACATGATTCCTGAATTGTTGCAATCTGTCATCAATGCATACTCCATGCCCTTCAGACTTAAGCCTACCTCACACATGAAAATACAGCAGCGTCAAATCTTGGATTCGGGATGGCCAACGCACAGGTCCATATCACCCTATCCCAATTTCTATATAATTTTGAGTGGGCCAGTTCTTTATGCGTCCACTATGCAATGGACACCCTCCATCTGACACCATAGTTAATCAAGGGGCATTACTTTGAGGAGTGCCATTCTTATATCAGCTGATTAAACACTTCGATATTAGTGATTCTACAAAATTTGTCGCAAAGTATTCTTTTTTTAATTTCTAGTTTACAAACTGTCATTACAGAATATATAAGGTACTTGTCAACATTGAAAGTGCATTAGCCTTTGAAAATTTAATGTTGATTTCAAAAATTGAAAAAAGAATTTACAATACAGTTAAAGACAACTGAGGTTTTATTTAAAAAAAAAATTAATATAATAATATATATTTATAAATATTTTTTGTTTTACACCCCTACTGAATTTCAGCCATATCAAAATAGGAGTGCCATATTGTGCCAAGAATAATCAAAAACAACCCTAACTACCTAAGAAATTGGCTTTCTTTGTTCAATTTGATTGGTATAAAACTTCATAAACTTCGTATGATTTCCACACATGTTTCAATAGGAGAAAAAAAATCATTCAGCCGGATAGCAGAATTTTCAGTTGTTTATTCAATTTTAATCCTTTTCCTGACAAAGGTCACAGATTTTAGTGGGCTGGCTTGGCCCATATCAAGCTAATCCTTAATCCTAGTTCAGTTTGGCCCAGTCCGAACATTACAAGTCTGAGCAGAAGTTTGAACATTAAAATGGCAGTCTCATCTGTGAAAGTATATGTGAGAATAAAGTAAGACTGATTTATTATAGAAAAACCTATGGATATTCTTTTCAGCTTTTTGTCTTATAACAAACGCATGAAAATACAAATAGTTAGGGATCCATCCCGAATATATATAGTTTATTTTTGTAGGAATAAAAACTAATTGTGGAATACTAAATTTTATTTTATTGTTACATTGGTAAATGGTATAAATGCCAATAAAAACTCATAATTTTCACATACAGACATGGGTTTTTGAGAATGCACACTCAATAAAAAAGTCTCTAAACACCTGGTTCAGAATTATCCCATTATCAATCATCCAATCATCAGAAAAGATGTTCCAAAAGTAGTAGTTTAAGAATTATTTTGGGACTAGTGCAAATATTTAGGCGAGAAGCCTGAGTGCCCTTTGGTCGATGGGATCTTGGGTTAGATGGGGTGTGCTCTTACAGGATCATTGGGCCATAATAAGTCCCCGGATTAGGGAAGGATGTGGATGGTGGCACTGTATGCTTCTGATCAATCTTTATAGGTAATACAATAGAAAAAAAAAGTGACCAGGTGTGCGCGCTACCACCGGTCAATGTTTTCGTCCAGCCAGTGGTTCCATTGCATCCATGCCGCGTCACCTTAGAATAATTCTGTACTTTTGAAGTTACTCCAAAATACTGTACTACTACAATTAATTACGGTTTTTAGTTGAGATAAAAAAGTCAATGGTACGGGCGGGATTCGAACCCACGATCTTCGGCTTGATACGCCTCTGCTCTACCACTTGAGCTATCGTGACCTCGATCCACTCGGATACCAACTTCCCATCTCAACCCCACCTTTTCAATTTTCCCTCCTTTTTGCCATTCTTCAAATGTCGTGTAATCTATTTGCTTCTCGGCGACAAATGAAATGGCCACGGAGAGCTTTAGTGAAGGTATACATCATTTAAACTTATTAAATTCACTAATTTTTGTTGTCCACTTGACCAATTAATATCTTTCAATTAATTGGTTTTTAGTTGAGATAAAAAAGTCAGTGTCACGAGCGGGATTCGAACCCATTTCGACATTTCAAAAATGGCAAAAAGGACGGAAAATTCAAAAAGTGCGATTGAGATGGGAAGTTGGTGTTCGAGTGGATCGAGGTCACGATAGCTCAAGTGTTAGAGCAGCGGCGTATCAAGCCGAAGATCGTGGGTTCGAATCCCGCCCGTGCCATTGACTTTTTTATCTCAACTAAAAACCTTAATTAATTAAAATATATTAATTGGTCAAGCGGACCACGAAATTAGTGAATATACTGTACTACATTAGAAGGGAAAAAAGCTGTTGGCTGGAGTTTGTTTTTCACTTTTTATTTTTTATTCTTTGATTTTTGTTTTAGGAAAGGAAAAACCTCAAATCGGAACATGCTGTACTCGGATAAGACTATTCAGATTAACACGACTCTATTACATAACAAAATTTTTACTTTTGAAGGTGTATTCCATCCAAATGTTTCACAAGTATGTATTAAAACAACATTTGTGTTTCATGTGAAGCTTGTGTATAAATTATTTTTTAGTAACAGAATTACTTTTACAGAGTGAATTATATGCCAAAGCGATATCACCTCATGTGAAAGATGCATTAGCTGGATACAACTGTACCATTTTGGTATATGGACAAACTGCAACTGGTAAAACTTACACTATGGAGGGTATAATTTCCTCTAAAATAAACGCAGTATGTATCCTTAGTCAGTCTAATTTATTCAGTATTAGTTTTATTATGTGGAAAATGAATAGGTACAGAGACCATTAATTACAAAATATATTGTGATGCAGATGTAATACTTGAAGAGAGTAATATACCGCACACTTGAGAGCTAGTGTATCCCCCTGTACCTACAGCACACAGGTTAGTCCTAGTTCTTCAAGCAATTTGATTGGCTCTGTTTCAGTGGTTGAATTTCATCCCAAAACACTTCTTCCTGCGGGCAAATGTTGTGCCATAGTTTGTCAGTAGGTTGGTCTCTTGTGCTTCTGTTGCTTCTGAAACTGCATATGCTGTTTTCGATTTGGTATAGCCAATCTTCTTCAGATGCCCATTTAGTTACAGTGCCCTGTCAAGAATCCTGTCAGGATTTTAAGTTTTTTCCTGCTTCCTTTGATGCCTTCTGGTGCTTCTTTCTTCCAAAACTTGCTAAACTACTGCTTTTTGTCTAAGATACTAATTGATAGTATGCATCCCTTGCCACAGAAGGGCTCAAGACCTATCTCTGGTAAAGCAGCCTCTTTCCTTGCAACGGTGCTTTCTCGACGACCTCACTCCCACATGTCCTGGGACGCAGCAGAGGGTGATTTTATTTTGCAAACCTAATCTATTTAGTTTAGTTTTGCAATTCAGCACATGATGTTTAAACTTAGTACTTTGATGGCTGCTAGGCTATCTGTCGTTTTTATACCATGTGTTCAGATTGGATTCAGTACATCTCTCAATTGCATGGACTTCAGCCTGGAAGATACGGTATATTTTTCCATGGGTTCTGAATATTTGGTTCCAGGGCTGAACGCACATTCTTGAATTCTAGATAGATCAGTGCACCAGAGATGGTGCCATTCTTAGTTCTCAACAGGAGGTGTCTTCCCTCTTTCAATTTTTTTTTTTTTTTTAAATAAATGAATTTCAAATATTCAATTCAAAACAACTAAAACAAAAATAGAAAAAATCTTTATTTACTAAAATTTTATTTATAAAAACCAAAAAATAATTTGAAAATTTGAAATCTTTTTTTACCGAAACCTATAAATGTAAAATTCAATTTTCCTTCTAATTTAATTTATTTGATACAATGAATCAAGAGTAAAATTTAAGAATCTTTTATTACTATTTATTTCAAAATAAAATTACAATTTCTTTTTATCATTATTATTTATTTTTTTTAACGAGGGTTCGCAACAGCAGAGGTTATATCAACCCTCGGGGTGCCGGTGTTTTTGAAAAAAGCCCATTTGTAAGTATGTCGGGTTCGAATGCAGGGCTGCTGGATTCGAACCCGGGATCTTTACCTTACAGTGATGAGCGCCGTGTCAACACCTAAACCGTTGCGGCCACCGATGCCCCTTTTATTATTTTTTATTTTTTTATTTAAAGAATCTTTTTATGTTTTGTAATACAACCTATTTTAAAGATCTACAAAATTTATCGATTTTAAAATCAAATTTAATTCATTTTATAAAGAAAAGTAAAATTATTTTTTTTTTTAACAATCTATTTTAAATAAAATTAAACTTATCACAACTGTTAAAATTATATGTGATTTATTTTTGTGTTGTGATTAGTGCGATCAGATATCGCAAGAATGGCACACTTACACAGAAAACAAACACTTTGAGCCCTGAAGATGATCTCAATAAAGATCGAAACGTTGGCACGATAAAGAAAATGTTTTTCTGAAACTTACATCACACCAGACCGCAACTCATGATATCTGAATAGTTATTTATTTTATTTTTCTATATAAAAATATATCTCTTTTAAACTAAAATACAATTTTTATTTTTGTATGTCAAAATTTAAAATTAACACTTGATTTGTGTGCATACAAATTATTTTCTTTTACAAAATAGCTCCTTAACCAATGAATTCCCTACTCTCTGGTCACTACTACATGCATGTGGAGGGCCGGCAGTACATGAAAATCTAAATGTGATATATATACAATAAAAACCCACGTCCTCCAAAAAGCAAAACAGTGGACCCAGAAACTTGCTACTGTACCCGAGGACCATTCTTAAATTCAGTGGCATGCCTTCACACACTCTCTGCAAGGAGTCAAGTTTGTGAGTTCTTTCTATTTTGTTATCTGTTTTACTTTATTTACTGAGCCAATCGCACTGTATGTGAGGATAGTTCTCACCATCATGGTGAGGTGTACGTCCAGAGCTGAATTTCTGGTCAGCATCCCCAGTTTTTCCTGCTATCCTTCTAAACTCCGTTAATGATCATGGTGCCTTCTTAATAGTAGTGCCAGTATGTTCATTGAATGCCAGTGTTTTGTTAATGGTGTCTCTATTTTTATTTTTCTTGTGAAAGCAACTGTGGTCATTTTATTAGGGTTAATCCCTAACCTAGATGTTTTTCACCATTCATCCGTAATTTTTAGACCTTCTTGGATGATGTCACAGAGTGTTTCTTCGAATTTTCCTCTAGCAGTCAGGACTATTCATCCGTCCTGGCTGGTTTTATCCTTTTGAGATCCAGAATATCAAGCAGCTCATCAACTGTTAGGTTTCATAGGCAAAAAGCATATGGAATTCTATACAATCCCTGGCAAGTCAATGACACCAATTACCTGACTTTGACATGGGTCTCTGGGTATTAAGGACATAGAGAAATGAAAAATGGACATGTTGGCCAAAAAAGGATCCAATATGAATTTTCTAAACCCATTTTGCCACTAAAATGGATCCTTAATTAGTCCAAAATTTGGTGTAGCAACACCCCAGGCATGAGGTAAGTGGAGAAATTCATAGAAGGGACTTCCTCAAGAATTACAAAGGAATTGCTGGAAGGTAACTGCAACACCAGGTTGGTTGGGCTTCTGACAGAGCACCTAAGAAGGCATACACACTGGATAGGAGTACTGACAAAAGAAGCAGTGTGCAGACACTGCCAGGTAGGAGAGTAGTCTGTAGAACATGTTTTTGTGAGGGTCGATATAAGTGTAAATTCTTGCAACTAGGAGAGGAAAAACTGCAAGCAAGATCCTACACTTTGGAGCCATTGGCAAGGCTAAGAAGGTTGATTAACAAACAACCGCTGGTTAGTGAATTATAAAAATAGAAGAGCATAATAGATCTACACAGGTTGAGGTGCAGAAAGTCTTGTGGCTGCCTCATTTACCCCTATACCCATCCCTAGGATCCACAGGAGGGGTAATGGTACTACAGGCATCCTTTGGTTCTATTAACCTGGATAGTCTTCTCTTATTTTTGTAATGTCGAGAAATGCGCAGATTGTTATTTCTTTGGCTTCCAGTGTCTCAATATATCGTGATGGCCAATTTATTTTTTTTTTATATATCTTTTGTTCCTAGGTTAATATAAGAAGTAGAAATGATGAATGATGGAGTGAGTGCGGTGTTCAATCCTTTTTGAAAAGATAGCTCCTACTCACAGTAAGTTGTTTTGCAACGACTGGATTTCGAGCCCTTAGCTCATCATCAGGTTGAAGGATTTCCACAACCACGTCTTTCGAAATGAATTGCAAAAGTGAACCTGCCGATACCCCCGCGACGTTCCAATGAGCGCTCAATTTGAACATGCAAAAAGCGGGAATTATAACACAAGTAAATATTATAATAGTAAATACTGTAAGAAATTAATTATAAATTAGTGGTTAAAGATAAAAGATGAAAATTTAAAGTAGTACCTTAATATTATTAAATTATTATAAAAATAATAACAATTAATTTTATTATTTGGACGTTTAATATTATTTATGTACATATTTAAAATGGGAGGTAGATCAAAATTTATTATATTATTATTGCATTTATCTCCATGTTCAATTTTACATATTTTAATTTCAAATTTCTCCACCCAATCTACTTCTCTCCCTTTGTTGAAACTATGTAACACTGTTGTATTTAAATTTGAATTGAAATTACGTTTTGTTTCTTTTAGATGGTCCTTAAATTCCAAAAATTTGTTTGATTTAGCCAAGATCATTGCAAAACAACTTACTGTGAGTAGGAACTATCTTTTTAAAAAGGATTTAATATAAGAAGGATTTACATTTGCTGACTTATCTGCAGTATTTAGTATTTTAAACTATATGTTATAACTGTCATTTGTTCATTCAAATTAAATAATACTACTTATTTGTCCAGCATTGCCAGAATGGAATTATACCACGGTCGTTTATCCAAATAATGGAATGTATACATTCAGTCCCTTGTAGAAGCACTATAATGATATCTTTTTTTGAAATATACAATGAAGAAATAATTGATTTAATTGGAGGAACGAATTCAAATTTAAAACTTCAGTACGTGGTCTAAAAAAACAAATATATGCACTATATTCTCGTCCCGACAAAATGTATAATAATCAATTTCTTTTGAAGGATTTATGAAAATGCGAAAGAAGAATATATCATTAAAAATCTTACAAAGATTAAAGTACAAAATTGTAATCAACTTTTAATGTACTTAAAAGAGGGAGCAAATAAAAGGCAAAAGTTATCAACATTATTAAATAAATTATCAAGGTATTATTGGCTAAATGTTGAAACGACTCAGAAAACATTATAAAATAACTTATCTATGTCTTAAACTTTACAGTCGATCTCACACAATTTTTTCTATGTGGATCAAAAGGAGGGACGAATTGACTGGGCGATGCACAAACGGAAAAATAGATTTCATCGATTTGGCCGGCTCCGAAAATGTGGTTAAATCAGGCATTTCAAGAGGGAATTTCCAAGAGACAAAAAATATAAACAAGTCTTTACTGGCATTAGGAAGAGTGATCAAGGGACTGAATAATAATGATAAACATATTCCTTTTAGGTAAGTGTATAAAAATATGTTGTTTATGTGACAACAGAAATATTTTTCTTTAACATTGATATGTTTATGGGTTGTATGCATTTCTGTGTGACCATTTTTACCACCGGGTAGTGTACATGTGTTGAGTAAGATAGTGTTAAGCTAGGCTAGAAATGGCTAGTGTTAGATTAGGTTGGGGTTAGAGTTAGGATTAGGGTTTTGGCTAGGTTAGGTTAGTGTTAACACCAATACATGTTGTTTATAAATCACTATAATCCCTCATTCCTAGACCCGTCCTCTTTTTTCCTCAGCTTTGCTTTAACGTCCAGCTCTGGAAGTCTTTCTCTCACATTTTGTTTAAAACCTCTCATATTATTTAAAACAGTTCAATTTATTTATTTCCCAAATTTACTCATTTTTTCTTTTCTTTATCCAATTTGACATTACAAGCAAGCAGTCAGTAGTACGAAGTTTTCCTGCATGCTGGACCATACTGACTCCAATTGGATTTTGAGCCACTTCCGAATAAGGTGAGTGGTTCGCGTACTCCTGGTAAGTCTTATTCTCCCAATTTATTATTATTATTATTATTTTTATTTATTTATTTTTTGTGGAAACAAGTGCCGAAACAGTTAGAATTAGGGTGGCTAGTAGGGATAGGGTTAGGATTGGTTTCAAAAGTTGTTTGTTTGGTTTTCATCAGTTGTTTGTTTACTAAGTTGTTCAAAGCTGAGCTCCTCATTTCATCAATTCATTTATGTAGGGTATATATAGTGTGGAAGTAAGAAAATTTTATTAATGACATCACACCACCCTCTCTCATGACTTTATAAAAGAACCTTGACCCCACAAAAATCACCCTTACCCAGATTAAAGATGTTGAGAAGCCGAAACACGTCTGACAGACCACACAACGAGGACAGGCAGACCAAAATAATAATTAGCAACCAAATTAGAGGTTCATCCTACAAACCACAGGAGGAAATCTCACAAAATAAATTTTAGATAGAAAATTAAATTAAAGTTGAACTTGAGGTTTGAAAGTGAGACTGTGAGTCAGTAAAAATTCACCCAGGTTATGGTAGTAAAAACTGACATATTTGGCCGAAGTACAATGACAAGGTGTATATTATGGGGGGAGTTCTCAGATGGTTATTTTTCGCATTGAAAATGTGCAGTGTCAGTAAGTTCCTTAACTTTTAATCTTAAGAACGATGAACGATGAACCAAGGTTTGTACAAAACATAAAGAAAAACATTATTTTCAAAAATGGTTATGGTTTTGTAATAGTTATACAAATTTTTGCATGACAATTTTTGCTTAACTGAGGAATGCATATAGGTTGGGTTATGTTAGGAATTGTTAGGGTGGGGTAAGGGTTAGATAAAAATTGGATAAGCTAAAGAAAGGGTTAGATTAGGTTAGGTTAGGAATGGTTAGAAATTCGTTATTTTAAAAGAGGATCTTTTTTTAAGCTAGCTATGCAAATATTTTTATATGAGCAATTTTGTGTAATTGAGGAGTGTGCATGGGTTAAGTTAGGAATAGTTACGCAGGATTAGAGTTAGGATTAGGGTAAGGGACAGGTTAGGTTAGGGATAGCATAAATTTCAATTATTTGTTTGCTTATCATTCTTTTTTTACTATATTGTTCAGCAAATACATTTTAGCCAAAAAATTAAAGTACTATGACTTCAGATTTTTGGTTGAGCCTTGAATGATTAGGTTAGGTTGAGGTTAGGGTTAGAAAGAGGTTAGGTTAGGTAGAGATAGGATTAGGTTGGATAGATAGAGTTAGGATGGGATGCATGGGGTTTTTTTTTTAAATTATTTTATTGGCCTTATGATCTTGCATATTAGCCATGGTACGAATTCTTGTGTGTTCAAATTGGGGGTATCGGGAAAAAAGGGCCAGAGGCGATGGTGGGAATCGAACCCACGACCGCGGCATGAGAGTCTCTCATGCTAACCACTCAGCTACCGCGGTCCCCCGGATGCATGGGTTAGGTTAGGTTATGTTGAGGTTTGGGTTTGGAACAGATTAGGTCAGGTAGGGTAAGCTTAAGCTAGAAATGGATAGTTTAGGTTAGATAAAGTTAGGATGGGATGCATGGGTTATGCTAAGTTAGGTTCTGGTTAGGGTTAGGAGCAGGTTAGTTAGATGGGGTCTGGTTAGGTTTGGTTAGATAGAGTTAGAGTTAGGATGGGATGCATGGGTTAGGTTAGGTTGTGGTTAGGGATAGGAACAGATTAGGTTAGGTAGAGAGAGGGTTAGGTTAGATAGAGTTAGAGTTAGGATGGGATGTATGGGTTAGGTTACGTTGTGATAGGTTTAGGAACAGATTAATTTAAGTAGGGTAGGGTTATGTAGGTTAGGAATTGTTAGAAACTCATTATTTTTTAACATTAATATGTTTTGGGCTGGATATACAAAGTTTTTGGATGAACATTAACTGAGAAGTGTGCATCATTGTGTTAGATTAGGAAGGGTTATGCATGGTTAGAGTTAGGATAGGGCAATAGGGTCAGGTTGGATGCATGCACTTCATATTATCAATCAGTTCTTCAATTCTTCTGCATAAATGGCTAATCAGATTGTATCAAATAGACTTCAATCAATTATTTCCAAATATTTTGAATAAAATTTGTTGTTTCAGAGAATCAAATTTAACAAGGATTTTGAAGGGCTCATTAAACGGCAACACAAAAACAATTATGATTGCAACTGTTACAACAGATCCCAAAAATGCTGATGAAACGGTCAAAACATTAGAATATGCGTCAAATGCTCAATCGATAATTAATAAAATTTTTCCCAATACTGAACCAGGAGATAAGAGTATATTCAAGGTAACTTGACAATTAGTTTTTAAATTACAAGTTAATTTGGCAGGGTCATGATGCCCCCCCCACCAAATGACCACAGTCTCACACCTGTATTCAGACCTATTCTGGCTTTATCCATCCTTCTATGGGAAATATTTTCTAGGCAACTTCCTTTACCAATCCATAAATTCTTGTCAACCTCAATCTAGTTTCCAGCGACTTCAATTCAAATCTTCTAACCACTCATCTACCAATGGCTAGTTCCTCATCATAAAACCTCCACATTTGACTGATCTTTCCTAGCTTGAGACACAAATCTCTGGAATTCTCTTCCTTTGCCAATCTGCAAAGCCATTTCCCTTACCTCTTTTAAATCCCTCCTATACATACACCTCATCTCCCGCCAAAGAGCCAACACAGTCCACAATATTATTAGGTCCTTTTATTACAAAGCTTGTTGCCTTCCTTTTCTCTATTTTTAAGTTTACTGTTGGTGTTTATAATCGTATATGGTATGGTATGGTGGAAAAGGATACTAGGAAGCGGGTTTGTATTCCCCAGGCACTGCCTTCTGGCTTATTGTATCGTCCTAGTTCCTTAGTTCAGTCAATAGACTCAATCCTTCTTCTTAGAAGTATCAGGACTGTTGCTGCTGCAATTTGATTCCCTAAGTCTTTTCCGTACGTTAGGTTAAATCTCCATTGAGCTGTTGCTTCGCATTCAAAGATGATATGAGTGGCTGTTTCCTCCTCCTCATTACATAATCTGCAAATCATCGCTGTATATACCCATGTTGTGTAGATGTTTTCTCAGATACCAGTGACCGGTTAGTAGTCCTACCACTCCTCTGAGTTTGGCCCTCTCCAATCGCAGCAGAGTTTTTGCCAGTCTCGGTGAGGGTTGTTTCATCATAAGTTTACTATGTCTAGCACCGCTAGAGTTTATCCACTTCTCCTTTTGTTTTGCTTGGATCCATTCTGCGATGGAAGATTCTATATTTGTTTTTGTTATCCCAATAATAGGTTCGGGGCCTATGTATGGTCTTGCAGATCCTCCTCTGGCCAGTCTGTCTGCTTTCTCGTTACCCAAAATTCCCCTGTGCCCTGGCACCCAAGATATCCTCAGGTTGTTGTGTTTCCCCAGGTTTTGCAGATTTTGGATGCATTCACTGACTAATTTTGATGTGATTCTTTTACATGCTAATGCTTTAATAGCTGCTTGGCTATCTGATCTTATGAGGATTTTTTGTCAGTGTAACCTCTTTTAAGATTTTCCAGGGCACAAGCATTGATGGTATGTATTTCTGCTTGAAAGACCGAAGTGTACTTCCCTAATGAGTTTGAGTCATGTTTTGGGCTTGTACAGAAAACGCCTGATCCGGTACCTTCGTTTGTTTTGGAGCCATCTGTGTACCGTACAATATATCTGATGCTCTATTGTGTTCTTCCTCTCCTTTATAGTCCGTTGAGACTTTATAGGAAGTTGTGAAGATTGTTTCCGGGATCGTGTAGTCAGTCCCCTTTTCTAATAATGGGTGCCTGATTTCGTTGATATGGTTGTATGCCTGAATTGTTTAGTTCCTTTCCAATTTAATTGTTTCTGGAGCCCAAGTGAGCTTTTCCTAGCCTCTCCTTGTATGAATATTTCCAGTGGAGGTAGGTTTAGCAAAGTTTCTAATGCGTTTGTAGGGGTTGTTCTCATCGCCCCTGTGATACATAGGTTTGCTAGTCTTTGTATGCTGCCTAATGTTTGAGTAGCTACTTTTTGTTGAGCTTTGTTCCACCAGATTAGTGATCCATAGGTTATTCTGGGTCTTATTACTGCCATGTATAGCCAATAGGCCATTTTCGGTTTTAGTCCCCAAGGTTTGCCTAAGGTCCTTCTTGTGGTCATTAGCGATATTTTACCATGTGCTATAGTATGTTGCAGGTGAGGATTCCAGGTTAATTTCTTACCAAAGATTATTCCTAGATATTTGACCTCATTTTTTAATAGCAGCATTTTGTTACAGAAGCGTAATCCTTGTATTTCTATATTTCTTTTCTTGGTGAAAGAAATTAAGGTGGTTTTTAAGGGGTTTACTTTAAGTCCCCGTTTTAAACACCATTGTTCCACCAGGTTTAGTGCTCTTTGGGTGAGCTCTTTTAATGTTGAATCGAATTTTCCCCTGACTAGTATGACAATGTCATCTACATAGCCTTGGGTGTAAAATCCACTTTCATTTAGTTTGCATATGAGGTCGTCCACTACCACATGCCACAGCAGGGGCGAGAGTATTCCTCCTTGCGGACACCCCCTCGCCACTACTGCTTCTACTTTTTCATGGAATATATAATCGTGTAAGACAGAGCATTCTTTATTATTACATTTTTCCCTAAATTCTTATTATTGGTACTATTATTTCTATTTTTTATGTTTTGTATCAAGTGTTTTATGTCAATTTATTTCACTATGTGTTAATGTCAAACCTGTATTAATTCAAGTGCGAGATTTCTATAAAATTTTGTGACCTTATTGTTATTCTTAGGGGATTCTAGCCACAGAATAAATCTCTCTCTCTCTCTCTCTCTCTCTCTCTCTCTCTCTCTCTCTCTCTCTCTCTCTCTCTCTCTCTCTCTCTCTCTCTCTCTCTCCTCCCCCTTTCTCTCTCACTTTACTGTCTGCATTTAATTAATTAATTTACTCCTGTTGAATCTGTTTTTGTTTAAGATGAATCTGATAGAAGATGATATAGTTAAGGCTGAAGAAGAAATCAACGAATTCAAAATGAGTTTAGGTGCAGATGCTATCGAATTGGAACCACTTTTATATAATTATGATATGAACCAGGTAAGTTTTAAACTTTGGGGGTATGGACAGTGGGTCAAACAACTTTACAATACATTTTTCATACTATTTTCAATTAAAAAGCCATGGGACGCTGGAATCCTAACCGAAGACCAACATGGCATCATGAATGATATGTAAAGTATCATGGCAAATATGAATGAATGAAAAAAGTACTTTATTAAGTAAACAAATGAAAATAATATAAATTGTATAATAATAATAAAATACCATCTGCCGGGAGGTCAGACTATAAGAATTTTTAATAACAAATTTTATGTTCTGTTAGCTTTTAAAACATGTTAAACCTTTGTTGGTCCAAAACTTAAACTTCGATTCCATTACCATTAAGTTACAATTTTAAAAAATTGAAATTTTTCTAGAAAGAACTATTTATGATAGAAATTGAGTGTGAAAAAAAAGAAGAAGAATTGGTCTGCTCTTTGGAAAAAGAAAATGAACAACTAATGAGTGAATTAGAAAAGCTGAGGTATTTATGCTCAGTTTTTATTTATAATTCTTTGTTTAATTGTCTAGTGAAAATCAATTTTAATTTATTTTAGACAAGTTAAATCCAACTTGGCTAAGGTTGAAGAAGAAAGTAAAAAAAAAATGTCCTCATTAATAGGTAAGTTGCAATTTCTTTTGAACTAATTATTGGCAAATTAGAAGGCGTACATACAATTAAAGGACTTTGTGTGTGTAAACATTGCTTCATCAAATTTGTGCAGAATTTTGACTAACCTGTTGACCACAAAAATCAGTTTTGACAATTTGAGATATTTGTCCTGTTGTCAAAGTTAAGCTCCAGAAACATGTTGTTTTCCTAGAAGCATCCATTTTTAAATACATTATTTTCTATTTAGCATTCACTCAAGTCAGGTGAAATAGTTGCTCCTTTATCATCCACATGTGTATGTATATATTGCAATATTACACCATTGGCTCTCTCACCACACATTCACACTAATAAATACATTCACTCTCAATATACACAAAAGGGAAGAGGCTATGTACAATGAAGCCCTGTTTTCTCCAGGAAGTTGTAACAGAGGACCCAAAGACAAATTTTCATATCGGATAGCATTCCTACTTGCTCTCTATATGGAGCCAAGGAATGGCATCCTTCCATTAAGTGGGATACATCAAGCAACCTTTCTGTACTTCTTCTTTAGCCCAAAAGTAAATATCTTTCAAACTCACGCCTACACTTAATTGGGTGCGGATTCCCTCTTCTACAATTCAGATCCTCTGAGGACCACCAGGAGCTCTTGATATGTAGGAGCTCTCTGCAAATTAGACTCATTGACGCTGCTATTTCCTTTTGTGCATTAGGTTAGATTATAGAGGCCGCTCTTTACAACCTGTACATCGTGATCAATATTGGTCTCTCCATTGTTGTCTTGAATTCCTCAGCTTAAGGCTTTTTATCAGATCCCAAAGCTTTTCCAAGGACTACCAGTATCCTTCAGACCCTGGGTTTTGTTCTCCCAGGAGTAGGAATCTCAGCCTGTAAAGTCTTCACATCAACAGAGGACATGTGTCACTGTTTCTTCTTCTTCCTGGCATATCTGCACAGGATCATTTCCACCACTTATGCCTCCAGAGACTGCAGTTCTGCTGTTAGTTTCTGCTTTTTTCTTATTTCTTCTCATGAACCAATAAATAAATATTCCAATTGAACAGAGGTCTTAGCATTTTATATATATAATCGATTGTCTCACAGATCCACATTTTTTGGCAGTTTGTATGTCACAAAAGGGTTCAGGGCTAATAGGTGTCCTCATCACACTTTATTTGTTGTCCTCCTAAACAACTCTGGACTTTACTACTGATGTATTCTTCTGTGAACGATACCTAGTCTTTTAATCTCCTTGGCAACAATTTCAATAGCAACAGTCTCAGCTCGAAAGATAGCAGCATAATGCCCAAGGGTTACTTGATTTCTAGTGTTTGGTATATTTCCACAAATACCAGCAACTGATCCATGCTAATTTTGCAGCCAACTGTATACCAGCTTATGGGGCCCCTTTCTCCCAGTCTGCTCTACCAGGTATTTTAATTTGAAATTTTTGGTCAAATCTGATGACATCAACAGGCATCCCTCGAACACCATCAGCCTGAAGTTGCTCCTTGTTATGTATGAAGGCTATTGGAACCTGTCCCCTGCATTTGCCTATGAAGTGTGGTTTTGGCCATTCTCTTGATATTATGTAGTGATGGTAGATTCAAAAGGACTTCCAGGACAGCAATAGGAGTCGTTCTCATTGCTCCAGTCATGCTCAGGCCTTTTGAACATATTTTTTATTGCATTTTTAACATCTGAGAGTTGGATCGTGGCAGTCAGGTGTAAAGGTTGACTCGTTGATTTCTTGTTTCCGTCCAGACTTTTGTGTGTGACTTATACTGAGAAGCTTCAGATTACCTCTCCAAGAGCACGATGAGAGGGTCCACCTGTCACTAATCATCAATTCTACCATATAAATAGCACAAAGTGAAAGCACTTTCACACAGTGCCACATCACCGGTCTTAAACCTATCCAGGCAAAATTGAAAATATGGTTTACTTGATTTCTTTTTCCTTTATTTTCTTTATATTTATTATTTATCTAGTGGATAATTTTTTTCTGTTGTTATTTATACTGTTCTGTGCATGTTTTAGATTTTCTTGGTAATGGTGAGAGAATGTTAAAACAGATTGGTCATGATGAAGAGGTATTTATTTTGGGTAATATTCTTTATACCCTTCTTAGATTTATTTTTCATTTTTATTTATTATTATTATTATTTTATTTTTTTTTAACTGGCAAACAAGCTCAAGTGTTTTTTTGACAGGGGCATCCGACAGCTTGGTCATTTTAGCCCTGAAGCACTAGCAAAATATCAAAATATCGCTATACTCTCGATACACACACACACACACAATCACACCAATAAATACATTCATACATATTTACATTGATCGCACTCATACTGTTTGGTAGATGGAGTACTCGATATTCCTGCATCTACCGTTCCCTATAATACACTACTCTAATTTGGGGTCGATGGGGTACTTTAAAAGTTTTCCGCCGTAGACCCAAGTCACTCACGCAACATGAGGGGCCATCGAGATGCTACTTCACCATCAACTCGTCTCCATTCACACCAATAAATATAATTACACCAACATACATTGATCACACTAATACTGTTTGGTAGATGGAGTGCTCGATATTCCATCTAACTGTTCATTACAATAAACTAATCTAAATTGGGGTTGATGGGTCTATTTTATAAAATTTCCGCCATCGGCCTGTCATACACACAACCTGAGAGGCGATGGAGAAGCTACTTGGTCATCAGCCCCTCCCCATTCACACCAATAAATATTGGGTTGTCCGGAAAATAATGCAGGATTTTAAGTTTTCATTAAAAAAAATCTATATAAAATATTCTGTTTACGTTTACAGGATTACTCATTTGTATGAATGTCAACACTTATTAATCCTCTTCCAAATGATATTGTTTGTTTACCTCTGTAGCATTCCGCTACTTGGAAATAATTCAGTCATCCTTATAATGTCAAAGCGAGAATTTCGTACGATTTTCTTTTACGAGTTTAAACTCGGCCGAAGCGGAGCCCAAACGGCTAGAAACATTAACCAAGTCTGGGGCGAGGGTTGTGTTAATGAGTGCACTGTGCAAAGGTGGTTTAAAAAATTTCGGGAGGGAGATTTCAGCCTTGAAGATGAAGAAGGTCGTGGAAGGCCTTCCTCTCTTAATGATGATGTTCTGCGATCAGTGGTGGAAGAAAACCCCAAAACAACTGTTCGAGAACTTGCAGAGCAACTCAAAGTCAGTAAAACGACCGTCGCTGACCACCTCAAGGCGATTGGAAAAGTGAAAAAACTCGAAAATTGGGTTCCACACTCATTAAACGATCGCCAAAAAAATCAGCGCTTTGATGTTTGTGCATCACTTCTTTGTCGAAACAAAAATGACCCATTTCTGGCCAGAATTGTTACATGTGACGAAAAGTGGATTCTCTACGATAACACTAGACGTTCTGGACAGTGGCTCGACAAAGGAGAAGCTCCAATACATTTTCCAAAGCCCCCAACTCATCAAAAAAAGGTAATGGTTACGGTATGGTGGGCTTCATTTGGTTTAATACACTACAGCTTCTTAAATCCTGGCGAAACCATCAATGCTGAATCATACTGTAACCAAATTAATACCATGCATCAGAAATTGGCAGTAATGAAGCCCTCTTTGGTCAATCGGAAAGGGCCCATTTTGTTGCATGACAACGCTCGACCACATGTGTCACGTGTAACGTCACAAAAATTATTGGAGCTTGGCTATGAAACTTTGCCTCACCCACCCTACTCTCCGGACCTCTCGCCTACTGACTACCATTTTTTTAGACACCTGGACCACTACTTACAACACATAATATTCAAAAATCAAACGGAACTGGAAAATGCATTTATTGACTTTATCAATTCTAAAAATTCTGAATTCTACTCAGACGGAATTAATAAGTTACCAACACGTTGGGAGAAATGTATTGAGAGTATGGGAAATTATTTTGATTAAAGAGCATTGCTTTAAAGTAACTAGTTTCTTTTTTTTTGTTTAATACCAAAATCCTGCATTATTTTCCGGACAACCCAATACATTCACTCATACAAGACACAGAAACACAAAACACCTAACTTAACTTCTATATACAATAAAAAATTACGAAGCACCGTCCCCAGGGCCAGTCCAGCCCTCCCTAGGGCTTCACCGAAGCAAATCCTGAGGGGTCGCGTCCGCGATCAAAGCAAGTCATAGATTTCTCTGTTCGGGCATTGAAGTACCGCTCCAGCCAGAGGATGCCACGGCTTAGCCAAGAACCCAGCCGCGTATCCGAGGGTGAGTCGTTCCCTCCACAGTTCGGGAGGCAAGACCCTCACCTAGCAGTAGAGGCTGGCTAAGGGGCTGTCCTGAATGCTCCGAGATTGCTCTCAGGCCCTGGTAATAGGGCATATCGAGCTTTCTCAGTCGCGCTTTACGGGCCGAAGAATAGGCCATACATCCATAAAATATCCTCGAACAGAACAGCGAGACGAACATTTTTATTAGGGTCTCCCTATCCACTCCCCACCTGAAGTGACCAACAAACTTCAACAGTGCGAGGGTTTTCCTGCTCCTCAGTGGCGTCGATGTGTGGCTGCCATCTCATCAAATAGGAGACCGAGGAATCTCACCGTCTCAACGTACCATACGGGTACGCCACCCTGACAGAGTTGAGGGGGACTGTGCGTCCTCCTCAGTCTGCAGAAGGGGACGCACACCGTTTTTGACGTTGAGAAGGCAAATCCGGTTTCCTCGGCTCTCGCAGCCACTACGTTTTTCGCCGATTGCCTGAATGTTTGTATTCAGCCTTACCTCATGTACCGGTATATTATCTCTTATTAAGATCGCTACCCCCCGGATCTGGGTACACCTCTCTGGAGAAGGTAAGAAACCCTCTTCGTTCGAGACGCGCCCTTGGGCGGATTCGAGTTTCCTGGAGAAATAGCCATCGGTACATACTCCCTGACCAATAACTGCAGCATATGTCTCTTGTTACTTATCCCTCTGCAGTTCCATTGCAGAATGGACTCCATTAATTGCTCTCGTGTGGTTTATGCTTCCGCAGGTTAGGTCTGGGTCCGGAGCGTCTGAGGCTGTTGAAGAACTGTCGGACCCGGACGTGGCTTCTATATCCGTCTTCTTTTCATTCTTTGTTCTCTGCTCCTTAGCCTCTTTGGGCTCTATCAGAGATTTTTTGAATTCGCAATTTGCACTGCCAGGCGGTCGTAACCCTTACTCCATCAAGCATTAGTCAGATATACTTATCTGTCTGGGATGGACTGCGCGGAGGGGCTTGATCGGGATCTGGAGCTGGTTTTCCTTTCTTTGTGTTGTCTACGTTTTCGCATTTTTTTGTTTTTTTTTCTCAACTTCTTTTGTCCAATTTATATTTCCAGTTTTCCATTTTTATCCTCCTTACATTTTGATAAATAAATACAAACAACCAAATAATATTTGCAATTTTATAAATAGAATTTAATAAATATCACAGTCAATTTTTTTTATGTTTGTTCCGTGTCGAGTGGAATGCTCCAAGACTTAATTTTCATTATCGCGTAGGTAAATTGTTTTGTGGCCAGAAATTTCGCTTTTGTGTCTACCATCTTTGGAGTCAGACCTTCATTAATCCCTCTATGGTTTATTTTTCTTAACCAAATTTCTCTTGGTGCAGCATATCGTTCACATTCAAATACCACATGTGATAACGTCTCCTCTGGTGATCCATATTCGCTTATTGGTTATTCTTTTAGTTGGAATGAATATAACTTAGCCTTGAAGTCCCCATGACCTGTTAAAATTTGACATAAATAGTGGTCAAGTTCCACATGCTTCATTTTTTGACGTTTATCTATGTTTGGGAAAAATCTATACGTCGTCCTTCCTTTTGTGTAGTTGGACCATCTTCTTTGCCACTCTTGAATTCCCCAATCTAATATGGCCGATCCGTTTTGAAAATTGATGGATGTCTCAACGTCGTTATCAATCTCCCATTTTATGGTTTTATGGTGTCCATTTTTAATTTAATATCTATTGGGAATTGTCCTGTGATTACCTGGAAGGATTCGGTTGAACACGTTTGATACGCCTTTTATGACAATAAAAGTGCTCTTCTTTGTGCTTGGATTAGCACTTCCGTATCCCTCTTTTTTAGGTACCTAGACCATGCTGGGCAGGCATAAAAAATAACCAATTGGACAATAGCTTTATACATAATTTCCCTATTTTTGTATTTAATTCCCCAACTCGCTGAACTTATTTGGGGAATAGCGCTATATTTACTGATAGCTTTCTTTTTAATTTTGTGAGCATGCTTATTAATATCTAGACCAGCCGAAATGCTCACTCCTAAGTACTTTGTACTCTGTACCATTCTTAATGTAATACCGCTCTATCTAATTAAGGGAGGACTTCTCGCATTCAATTTCCCTTTTAAGAGGACCATATTTGTTTTTTCAATAGAGATTTCGAGCTTAGTTTTTCTCGTCCATGTCTGCACTATATGGGTTGCCCTGTTGCCTTGCATTTCCAAGTCCCTTTTAGTGTCTCCCTCGATTACAACCGCTAAGTCGTCAAAGAAGGCATACACTTTTAAGTTATTTTGTTGGAGGAATAAGATCATCGAAAAGAATTGACCATAGCATCGCACCCATTATGGAACCCTGGGGATAACCCATTGTGATTTTCCTTATGCATGCTATGTCACACTCCTCTAAAGTGGCCGTCCTTTCATGTAGAAAATTGAATAGAGGTTTTTCAATATCTCTAGGGAGCAGTCTGTCTTTTAATCTTATTTTAATCGCTGGCCACCACATCCTATCGAAGGCACGCGTAATATCAAAAAATACCCCCAGAACGTATTTTTTGTTAGTGCGCTTGACCTGGTTTATCATTGTCTTTATGGCATGTGTTGTTGACTTGCCTTTGACTCCTCCATATTGGGAATCATTTAAGACAATTTTCCCTTCCTTTTTTAGTATATTCAGGATTAGGAGTTCCAAGGTTTTTCCTATGACTGGGAGGAGTGAAATTAATCGGTAGGAGGACGGGCTCTCCAGGGGTCTTCCTGGTTTTGGGATGGCGCAGATCTGTTTTTCTGTTTCTGGAAAACCATCCTCTTGCTTGGGTACGTGGCAGTCGCCACCATTGAACTTGTCCCCATCGCAGACAGGGGAGCTTTGGCGATTGCTCCTTTCTGAGGTGCAACCGCTAGGGGTTGATCTGGTGCCTTTGGCCCCAGAGTAGAAAGGGCTGCTGCCTGGGCATATGACCCCGCAGTGCCTCTGCTTTCGACCACTGTCCTGGCCTCTCGGAAACTCAAGTTATTAAGGGCTTTTAATTTCTGTATTTCTTTCTCTTTTACAGGACAGTTGGCAGATCTCGAGGTATGGTTGCCGCCGCAGTTAACAGAAGTGGGTGGGTTGGCACATCTCGATGCTTTCGGGTGTGCCTCCATGCCACACTCGCACATCTCGTGCGGCGACCTTCACCACAGGGAGATATGCCCAAATCTTTGGCACCTATAGCATCTTTGAGAGCTCGGGATATAAGGTCGAACCTTTAATTTGTAAAAGGCGGCTCTTACTTCTTCTGGGCATCTTGGCGTGTTGAAGGTGAGGATCAGACTCGCTGAAGGGAGAATTTGTCCGTTTCGGCGGGTATTCATTCTTTTAACGTCCAACACTCCCTGATCCTCAAGGCCCACCCTGGGAGTCGTAGCCCACTATGTGTGGAGCTGCGGCAACGACGGGTGGTATGTGGTTTGAGGCTCGAGACCCCGAAACGGCTCACCTCGTGTTCGCATCCACGGCCCTTTTCTCAATCCGAGTTCCTTCATTCTATCCTGTGACCCCTCCCAACCCTTGGTATCCGGGCACAAAATAAAGGTGTAGCCCAGAGGGCGTGGCAACCTCTCTAAAGCACAAGCTGTACTCGTGCCGGCCTAAGGTCGGCATGGGCGGCGGGTGCCTTAGCAGAGTCACACGAGGGCCAGTGCACTAGATCCTGTCTGCATAGACAGGGGAGGGTGTATGGCCATCTGTACCACGGGGTAACTGAAAAGTTCCAAAATCAGCCCTAGTTACACTGGGAACGGTTTCGTGGTAACGCCCCTGGCGGGAACTTAGACAGAGGCTGTCTTCTATCTGTGACCTTCGTGAAGCTTGCGTATGGCCAGCGTTATTACCCCCGGCCGCACGGGAGACGTTGCGACCGGACGACAGCGTGTAAGCGTTGAGGACGCGATGATTATGCTGAATAGTCCCTCGAATGCGTGAGTAAACGAAAAGAAACGGGTAGTGAATCGGTTTCTCTGACTCGAGTATGCTTTGAATTGTTGTGCGTATGAACGGCGTGGTACCCTTGGGGCAGCGAAGGATCGGACCGATACACGGCTGAGCCTATGGCGTCCCTCAAATGCGCATTGCAGCTGTAGGCTGAGCTCGATAAGGGACTTTTACCGTAGGCGGTGCTCTTCTAGGGTGTAGTTAGCAATTCCACTTTAAACAAAACCGCTGCCGGGGCGTTCCCGGAAGTTTCTACGCTGGGGAAGCCTCAATACTCAGGGAGATAGAGTGGTCTTCTCTTTCTAGAGATACGCGGGAGAACAGGCTGATGCATTTCGGCATGTTAGCCCTTTGCGTGCGGTATACGACCCTATGCACAATTGCTCTCCGCTTGTCCACTCCGAATGGTCAGGCCCGCATTGTGCATAGGGTCGTATGGCCTGACCATTCGGAGTGGACAAGCGGAGAGCGGGGTTGTCTTGGCCCTTAGGGGCTGGGCCTCTACACCAATGCTGCGGCGGTAACACCATTCCGTCGTATGCAGAGGTGCGTCAGCTCTCATCTTGAGAATCAAAACGTCCGATAAGGCTGAATAGGCTAGGTGCGGACGCTAAAGATCCTCTTGTCTTGTTGACGAAGAGTTCTCGGGAACCTCATGATCCTCAAGGCCTTCCTTTATATCGTCTACGCTGCTGTTCAAGAGATCATGACATGTTACAACCCCTCGTGAGGTGTTTAACCTATGATGAGGGGTAACCTCGACCTCTTGTCCAGCAAGCGTCTTTAAATTTGCAAATTTCTCCTCGTTAACTTTTCCTGTGATGTCGATACATATTTTGCCGTCCCTGCTCTTTGTAACAGAGCTTATGTTGCCCAGATTCTCTCTAATGCTTTTATGAAGGAGAAAAGGTCATGGCATGTTAATTTAAAATCTTCTTCTTTCCTTGCCACAGTATAGTATCGCGCCACAAATGTTTCGGTGAGTGGTGTAATCCCCAAGGGAGCGAGATCCAATGACGTCACTCTATTCTGCGACTTTTCCCCTCTTTTTCCAAATTTTCTTTCTTTCTCTTCTCTTCTTTTTTCTGTGCCGGTGACTCAGGTGTCACAGGCACAGGTTTCTTTTCCTTTTCTTAACATTCCATTGTTTCACTTTTTGGCGAACTGGTGGGGGCCCTCTTCCTTTTACCAGGAACGAGGACGAACCCTTCATCATCGACCGTCTTGCAAGCGGGAATGGTGGAGTTGGTAAGTGGGGTTAACGGGCGTTCAGGATTTTTGTTGGGATGGGCTGGAAGTGTGGGAGCGATTGGGTGTTAGGAGCAGGTGTTGGGGAAGGAGAGGATGATGTTGGGCTGGTTAGGCCCGGTTTGAGCGGAGTAGGCACTTTTACTCCTAATTTGATTTTTTCGTCCATTTTATAAGATTTGTTAATGTGTTTTGTCTGTAAAGTTGTGTTTGTAATGTGAGAGTACAGTTCTCAGCCTTTGGGATTGTAGTGGCCACTAGTTAGTTTCCACGATACCGCTAGATGTCACTACGACTTATGGAATGTTCTCGCCCCCCACTCTGCAGCCAATCAGAGTAGAGCTCTTCCCTATATAAGCAGAGGCACTGCCTCGCTAGAATCTGACTCGTCAAGACGTCAACCCGACGAGATCTCACCAATCACTAATGTAACCGACATCGGCAACGACAGGAGACTCGACAACCCGACGAGGTCTCATACATCACTAATAATCGACTACACTAGACTCGTCAACCCGACGAGCCATCACTAATGGAACACCGTCAACGACAGCAAGTACTCGCATCATTAGCCTGATCTCGCCTTCTAAACAGCCGACTTGGCAGTAAACGCCAACTGCTGCCCCTCGGCTAATTGCTGCACTCCAGTATCTTCGGCCTCTGTGGAGTCACCGACTTACGGCCCAACGGTTTACCCTGTCACACACCACAACCAATGGCGCCACTCGCATGGTCTCGGCCTCATATCATCGTCACGGCATCTCTACACAACACCGGCCCTTAGAGCTCGCCGCGACGCCCAGCACGGTCGCCAACTGGCAGTACTACTCTCCAGATGAGAACTGTGTGTTGTTTGTGTGGTGTGTTGTGCACAGTAATTTGCGTTTGTAATATTCAGGTTCCAAGGCCCTTGGCCGTGTGCATTGGCCTGTGTATTAGTGGTGGCATGCTGATGGAGGCCCAGAGACTGCCCAAGTCCCCCGCCCTCACACCACCTAGGTTAGGTGTAGCGGAGTTATGTATGTACTGGTTCGCAATCCCAGGACGTGAGATTTTTAGTTCGTTTCAAAAACCTTCCTAGGGACGGTATCCCTAGGGTGTGTACTGTTAGTGTGCTTATGTCAGTGTAAGTGTAAGTGTAGGTAGGGGGAGTGATGATATGTGTGGGTGCAGTTTACCCTTATGCCCGGGAGGCTATTTTCTAATTATATCAGATAGAAATAGATACATATAACATAAGTTATAACATGTTTTCCTTCTTGCTAATTTTATTTCATCTTTCTCTTTCTTCTTTCATTTTTCGAAGATATGTTCTTTTTTTGTTATAGCTTATGTTTAGCAGCCTGGAAGTTGAAATCAATGAGCTGTTAAGGCTGTGTAAACGTCAATTGAATATTGTCGAGGCTAGTGGTGAACAAATTAATTATTGTGAAAAATTGAAAGCTCGCATTCCAGGATTACTTTCACAACTTAAGGTATTTCTTTTTTTTTTCATGAGCAAAAACACCAAATTGCTAGATAGAAAGTAGCAAATTTGACACAATTTGTAATTATCTGTATATAAAGTATATTATTTGTTGTGTATTTTTGGTTAGCACTTGATAGTTGCCATTGTTCTTGGATCTTTCTATTTTATTGAGTAATTATAATTGAAAAATTTAGGCCAAAGGTTGCTCGATGACTCTCACTGATTTGAAGGGTGTCATTCATCAGCTCCATAAAGAGAGCAAGTAGGATGAATGTGAAAACGAACTTGTTCCGATATTTGGAGAAAACAGGTTTAGTGACCCTGAAAAGGGCCGGTGTTGTTTCGTAGCGTCGAGACGATGGATCGAGGCCGAGACTGGGTGCATGGCGCCGTTGGTGGTGGTCTGTGACCGAGTAAACCGTTGGCTGAGGTCTGGGGGTGGTGAGTCCGTTGACTTCATAGAGGCCGAAGGTACTCGAGTGCAGCAATTAGCCAAGAGCAGCAGGCGAGAATCATCTAATGCTGCGAGTACCCTTGCTGTTGTCGACAGTGTTCCATTAGTGATTTGTGAGAGCTCGTTGGGTTGACGAGTCTGCTGTCGTTGATTAGTGATGGGAGAGATCTCGTCGGGATGACGAGTCTTGAGGTACAAGTGAGACTTTGTCATGTTGACGAGTCTGCGTCTGGTTTCAGTGGAGCAGTGCCCCTGCTTATATTCAGAAGGGCTCTACTATGATTGGCTGTAGAGTGGAGGGCAAGAACATTACATAAGTGGGAGTGGCATCTAGCAGTAACTTGGTAACTACAAGTGGTCACTACAACAGGTAATTGTGTACAGTGCGGTTGACAATTTACCTGAGGAGTTTTCATTGTATAGCTTGGCAGGACCCAAGTCTGCTGCCTAGGTAACTGACGAGTGGAACTTGATAACTCCTTGTTGTTCAGCCGTCCACTTTATGCACTGGTTTTTTTAAATTTAAGTGTGCTCTTGGATACTGAAGGTTGCTCGGATAGGATTTGAGTTGAAAGATAGGTGGTAAAGATAATGTTAGGATGCATAGGGAATTCAGTAGTGTAAATGGTATGAATGATGGAACCAAGAATGTTCCCTTGGTAGACACCGATTTGTATCATTATGTTTATACCACTTGCTGCACCTCACACTGAAGTAGAAATAAAGAGTGGGTGGAAAGTGTTTAAGTTTAACAAGGATGCCTGGGTATCAAATTTGTATCTATGTTCTGTAAGATTGTATTTATTAGCATAAATGTACTGTGAAGGAAGTTGATGACCCCTGGAGCTTAATTCTGGCTCTTAGTGGGCTGAACAATGCCCAGATGTCTTATGATAAGTCTCATTAAGTACTTATGTATCTAATCGTATGTATATATTTTTAAGGAGTCCCAAGAAATGGTGGAAAAATTACAAATGAGCAGTTATCAGCTTACAAAGTATTTCCCTCTTGGAGGTGAAACAGGCAGTAGCATAGTATTCAATGATGCAGTTTTGGACGAATTGACATCTCAGACAAGGAGGAAACTACAATCCATCAGCGATAATGCTGATAAATTATCAACTTCATCGCTAACAAATATAACATCACTTTCTGAAGTGGTAAATTTTAAATATATATATATATGGTTAAAGTTGATTTGTGTATTGCCATGTGCATATATTTTAGTCCTCCCATATTAAAGATGTAACTTATATGAAAGAATTATATTGTAAAATTTTACAAATCCTTTTTACCTTTTATGCCGAACACAATTTAAAATGATTCTTTTTGCGTATGAAATGACACTTTCACAACTCACAACATAAGCTTAAATATTTCCCACAAGACACCCTAAATTCGAGTAATTTTTAATTGCTTTTTCTTTTTTTTACCTTTCAGGTGACTTCTTTTAAGGAAAAAGTGATAGAAGAAGAACTGATCAATCCCCATATGATTAAAAACAATTTAGATGAATTAAACAAATGTGAGTGGAATTTTAGTTTATCTTAGATAAAAATTTATCATTTCTTTATATGTTTTTCATGATGATATTTAGCAGTTGTTTACATGTGTGATCTGTTTTAAGCACAAATTAAAAACAATATTTACTTTTCTGTTTTTGTTTTTAAAAGTGAAAGGGTTAAATAATAAACTCCCTGTCGAAAAAAAATTGCAACACCTTGAAATTTTTGAAACATTTTAAATTTAACTCTTTAAGATATTTGTTTAATGATTTCTACTTTTCCATTTCTATATACACTGTTACTGACTTTCTCAAATTGACAAAAAATATAACCGATTTTTCACTGATTGATTCTACTGGTCTATAAATAATAAAAAACAAAATATTCTTAGAGAAATTTATTGAAGTGCTGTAACTATGTCCTATTCTCTCCTCTTTTCAATAGAAGTCCATCAGGGCTACAACCTGAGCCCTTTGTTCTTATTCAATCCCCTTATCAATTGGAGTCCTTCAGGGCTACAACTTGAGCCTTTCGTAGTTATTCTTTTCCTTAATCAATAGAAGTCCCTCAGGGCTACATCCTGAGCCTTCATTGTTTTCAATGATATCTCTTATTTTAACAGTTGAATCTTGTACATCTTTTGAAATCTCAATTGGAAAACTTAAGTCGGGCAAATTTGCCACAATTTGGTTTTATTTATTCTAATAAAATTACTCGCAGCTTCCTTCTTTAAGTATCAGTTTCAAATAGCTAATAATGCTTGTATTTTTTATATATGGGACTGCAATGGCTGAGTGGTTAGGGCGTCTGACTTTTATGTGCCATGCTACCAGTTCTGAATTTGAATCCCGCAGAGGCTATGGATTATAGCATGAAACATGTATTGTAATCGTCAGAATGACTGGGATGTACTACCGCACCTATGATATCTCCTTTCATCACCATTTACCGCTTATTCCATGCTCCAAAAAACTCGATTAATGTCAAAAATGTTTACTTCACTTGAATACTGAGAAAACATGGAGTTCTAAGCTCAGAAACCTGTGAAGTTTTGAGCGGTCAGAAATTACAAAATTACAGGGAAAATGGCAAAAAGTAGAGGAACAAAATAGTTCATATTATTAAGTAAATTTGTTTACAATTACCATGACATTTACTATAAGTGTTGCGATAAATTTGACAAGGAGAGTAAGTATTTAACTGATTTTAATTGACAAAATTTTGATTTTTACATATTGTGACGAAGAAATTGTTGTTTCAGTTGTCGAACCTCACGATGGCGCCTCCCTACCTAATGGAAAGATATAAACATGTATATTTTGTAAAAGCTCACAGCAGAAGATACAATGAAAACGAATCATGAGCAATTTTCATCAGTTTTATTTTTAATTTTTTGAAGCTGTGCTTAATTGTAATACTTATTTGTTTGTTATGAATACTGTGAACATGTCGGGGTTTTAAGATTTAAACAAGGGTTCTTGTATGATAGCACATTTTGAAAGTGATCTGAAGACTGTAATTGAATTATATTTAAGTTTTTTTATTTATTCCATTTAAATTCTAAATATAATAGTTCTACAGCATTTATTGTTTTGATTTTAATAACTAATTTTTAATTATTTTTTTATCTAATCCATTTTCAATTCAGTTTACTTCTTAGAAATTTCATAAACCTTATTTTCATTTGTATCTTATTTTACGTTTATTTGATAGATTATGCATGCTAAAATCTGTGAATATGAATGAAATGTATGTGAAATATTATCTGATGAAAGAAAAGAAACAAATAACAAGAAATTATGCAAATGTTTGATGTAATAAAATTTTGTAGAACTGTGAATTTTTTTTTGGGGGGGGGGAGTAGTTTCTGGCGACTAGAAGAGGAAAAACTGCAAGACTGCAAGACCTACTTTTTAACCTCAAAGAGGTGAACAAAAACTGCAACAATGATAATACTAAATCATTGTTGCAGTTTTTGTTCACCTCGTTGAGGTTAAAAATTGTTTCTTTCTAGTATGGTTGGGGTTACAGTGAATATAAGAAATTATAATCGGATGTAAATGAAAATAAACATCATTAATTTATACTATGCTTAAAGCCCTATTTGTACCTTTTGAAATAGATAAATGAGCTGAATTATTCAGAATTTCGTGTCGCCCCCAAAAAAGAAAAAAATTGAGAAAAATGCATACAGATTGAACTGTTGTCTACGTTGTGATTATCGATCCGTATCCAAAGTGTCGCAATTAGTAAGGAAACAAGCTAAAATACGATATTTTAAGTGAAGAAAAAAAAAACATTTTTGAATAAACTTCGTTGTGCTTTAACCGGTTTGACGTTTGAGGATAATTTTTCTGAAATCTTCCAGAGGGCAGGTTTGCCCGGTTTTTTTCTAACGGGGATTTTTGACTGGAGTGAAATAAAATCCCGCTTTTCGTTTTAATACTGCCTCACAATCGGATAAGCTGACGAATTTGAATTGTAAAAATTTCAGTAAAATTGATTAGTTGTTTTAATCTTATTTTGTTTTAAGGGGTCGCTTTCTTGTGTGATAAAAAAACACCTTCGTTTGGAGGGGGGTATTTTTTTTCCAATTTTTTATTTAACTTTGGCTATAAACTCTTGATAGAAAATAATCGTATAAATGTTCTTCTTTTCGATATTCCAGACCTGAAAAAAGGCTTCTTGTTTAAACGGGAAAACGTTGCAAGACGGAAAACGTAATAATACTGGATGAGAGTTGTGTATGAGAGATATCGACTTGGTTGTGAATATTGCATTGGTAGGATTGGCGGCGCCTGCGCGTTTCTCACCGGCCTGTCCGGACCCCACAGTCGGCCAAACTCGCGTTCGTATACGTATGGGCTCTGTGAGGTTTTACTCTGTTTTTTTCTTCCCTTTGCCATGATCAAGAAAGCGAATAATCTAATGATGTCCCGCAACAAGACGAACGTAAGTAGTCACTTGATATTTACAGACCGGCCCGTTGAGTATTTACATTTTGTCGACTGGAAGCGATCCCGTCCGGGCGACTCGCACTCCAAACAGGGAGTAAATCCTCTGTTGATTCGAAATATACGTTTTTCCGGGGACGCCCTGGACGTTTGGGACGTCTTTTCGGACGACCCTCTTTGCCTATAGTTTCTTAGGGATTATTTGGAAAAAGCTACCGGTATTTTTTTTTGTCAGAAAATGTCGTTGCTCTCGTAAGCTAAGCACCCGCACCGAGCAATCTATGTAAAAATAAAAAGTTCGATTTTTTGTACTTTTTGGGTCTTTTTTCGTTTTGAAATACCGCTCGTGTGTCAAACCCGCGGCTGTCAAGGACGGCGGCGGAAACGAAGATCGGACTGCTGGAAAAGCATGTTCTCAGCCCTTTGAGCCGTCTCTGGAGTCTCTTCAACTCAACGTCTAAAAAGACGACCTCTGATAATTAGGTTGTCACGTCTTTTTACCCTGGAAATCTCTCATCCGCCTAGGCAAATTTCACACCCAAATAAAAAAAATAAAATAAAAAAAGACAAACGGCCAAACGAAAACAAAATTTTCTGTATAGTTGAAGGTTTCCACACTCCTCCGATTTGTCCCATGGAAAGCTTAAAACAACTTTTCTAAATGGTGGATACATTAAACACAATGTTGAAAGATCCTGCTCGTTTTCTTGTCCATCTGATGCATGTTTTAACTTTAGAGGAAATTTAACCGTTGATGTTTTTGTCTCTTTAAACATAATTGTGTCATATGTTCACAAAGGCTTTTTTCGTGAAAAAAAGCTGTATATCATGTCCAAAGACTTGATGAAAAGAATCAAGTTTGAGGAAGTTTATAACTGCTGTCTGGACTGAAATTCCTTGCACTTTGGTACGTTCCTTTTCGGTTCTTTTAAACTCAAAGCTCTCTCCAAACTATTGAACATTCCATACTGATAAAATTTGCCAAATGTTGAAAAAATTTGTCCTTTTTCTTGCCCCCATGAAACATTTTAAGTTTATCGAAAACTTAACCGTGGTTGTTTTTGTGTCTTACCACATAATTGTGTCATGTTCACAACGGCTCTTTTCGAGAAAAAGGTATATCTCATGCCCAAGGTTTTTCTGAAAAGAGTCAAGTCTGAAGAAGTTCGAAATGCTGTGGACTGAACTTCCATCGACTTTGGTACGTTCCTTGCTGGTACTTTTAAACCCAAAGCACTCTCCAAATTATTGAACCATTCCATGTGGATAAAATGGCCAAATGTTCAAAAACTTTGTGCTTTTTCTTGCCCCTATGAAACACATTTTAGTTTAACGAAAATTTAACCTCGGATGTTTTTGTTTCTTACCACATAATTCTGTCTTATGTGCATAGCTTACCTTTTTTTCATAATATAAAGACCGACAAAGCATTATCTCATGTCCAAGGGTAGTATAAAGAAAACCTAACCCCTGAGGTTTCTGTCTTTTTCCAACCGACTTTTATGATACGTGAACAACAGCACTTTTCCTTTTGGGAAAGAAAAAAAATCCAAAAAGATCCGTAAGTTGAAGGGTTTGCTGAATAGATTGAAGTTGGAAGAAGTTCGAAAAGGAATCTGGACTTCCACTTTGGTACGCTACTTGCAGGTAGTAACCGTAAGTTTATGAGATGTTTTGAACATTAAAGATTCCCTGTTTCTTTGTCCTTCTGATGCACATTTTGAGAGAGAAAGATCTTAGATGTGTTTTTTCCAAATTCCTTTTCACTATTTTAAAAAGTCCTGTATGAACTGAACTTTGAACCCTTCGACTTTGGTTTATGGACCAGCGAAAAAGACTATTTGTTGAACCTTGACATGAACTTAATTGCAATAAAAGGTAAAATCGGTACCGTACGGTCTCTTCATTGTGATTTATGCTAGGGCTGACCGGTAGAATTTAAACAACCATTTCTCGTTCGTTACACGGAAACTTCTAATCGGATGTTTACGTCGGTTTAGATTAAATAAATTATAATTCAAGCATTTGACGTATTTGGGCATTTTAGATTTAAAGTCCTTACTGTTTACATTTTGTGCGGATTTCCCATGGACGAGACATGGTTATTGTTTGCATACTACACTTCCTAACCCCCCACCCAAAAAAATCCTTTTTTATTTGTTGGTTCAATTTGTAATTTTATATTTAAATTTACAAAAATTGATAGCGATTAGCGCTCGACCATCATTTTTTTTCGACGCCTCATCTTGTTAAACTTTGATAATCTAGGCAGGAAACGGAAGGGAAATTTGCAAAAAAAAGTTGATTAGCCGGCGTGATAAAAAGTAGGCGATTTAAAAAAAAAAAATAAGGCCGTCAAAGGGTTGTTAATTGTTAATTGACCGTGTAAAAGTCAGTTGTCTCCTCCTATGGTCGCAGTACTGACCGGTTTCAATATCTCGGCTTGTTTTAAGCCTTATATGAATATTCTCCACCCTTTTGAAGTAATCCCGTTGTTCGAAATATGACATAACAGAATGACTCGTTGTCCGACCACGTCGCATCTCCTTCCTCGGCTCTGTTTGTGCTGTAAAAAAAGCTGTCAGGGCAAGGTGGACAACGGAAATCTTGACCATTGTCAAGAAAAAGAAACAGTTGAATAGGGCGGAAGTGGAGAAGAGTTTCCATTTTTAGAACTTGAGAGCTTCCGGGCAGACGTTGCAACACGGGCCATGAGTCTTGTGGCCAGAGTAGATTAAACAAACCTGATTTTTTTTTCAAATTTCAGCAAAACACAACTACAAATACATAGCCTGTTATGGCCTAAATTTTTCTTGGAGCTAGTCGAACTTTAAAAATTTTGTTAAAAGGTTAGCGGTAAATCCCGTGAGTTTAGATTGGCGCCAAAAAATCAGTTTTGCCAATACATGGGCAAAAACAGAGCATGAAGAACACTGCACTAGCCCTTTACCCGCGGGATTTCCTGCTAACCTCAAACAAAATTGCTAAAGTTGGCATGGCTTTGACGCAACTTTGGGGAAGAAAGGGTTAAATTTATAAACCGTATATGAAAAATTTATGTTTGGCAAATATAACACTCCAGAAAATATGTAACAGTTGGAGATGAAGATTTTAGATTGACGCCAAAAAATCAGTGTTGCTAATACACTGGAAGAAACGTTGATGGAAAAAATTCACCCACCCTAAATTTAAGGGATTAGGTAAGCTTTAGGAAGTTTGATAAATTTGGTGTTGCCCTGAGGCAACGTTGTACAAGAAAGGTCTAATAAATCATCATAATCATAGTCCAAGAAGAAACAAATATTCTTAAGTCAATTTGTACTCCACGCTGAAAAGGAAACTAACGAGTACCACAGGGATCGATATTACGCCCTACGCTATTCCTCATCCACCTAAACCACTTCTCTAGACTAGCTGACCTAGTCGTAGAAGTATTATTTGCTGAATGAGAAAGCGCTGCAACTGCATGTTTCAATGTGAAGTCCATTGAAGATTTCTTATACACTGACAGGAAAAAACTTACACCCAATTCTAATATAACTTGATTTGCATATATTTTTATATAATAATGAAAGTTTCACGGTTTTTAACGTTCAATAATTGAGTCTTTGTCTAAAAAAGTAAAAGAAAAAAGTAAGTTGGAAAATGCGAGCGACATGTGGACGGGTATTATCGTTCATTAGAATAGGATTGCTGCTGATTTCATCGAGGGTAGGCAACGCATGATGTTCCAAAAATTCATCCTCAGAGCGAGTGGCAGTCAAAGACTTTCCACAAACAACAACCAACTCGGTGCGACTCTCCATTCAAATTCCCTCCCATAGCTACGTTGAAAAGTTTGGATCTGGGAAAAATGTCTTCGTACCTTTCATTTCGCCTTCTCCACACTCTTTTACGCCCATCTAGAGACGTAGAGCAAATTACTCATCTGTAAAAATACAGCAGACCAGACCAGTCGGCTGTGTTCTCGAGCAAATCGGAGCCGTCCATTCTGCGTGTTCTGGTCAATTCTTGTCCTCTTAAAGCTTAAAGCCATCAGCCCATACTGATTTAATCTTCTTCGAGCAGTGCGTTCATAAATTTGGACACCTTGAACTTCCTGGTGCTGAGGAATCGCTTGAACAACAATAAGGTGTCGGTTTCGCAAAATTCACAAAGTCAAAAAACGGTCATCCTGTGGTTCTGTTACACTAGGGCGTCCAGAACCGGCCATTCTATAGTAGGACCCAGTTTTTCAAAAACGTGTAAAGGCGTCTCGCAGTGTTTCATCGCGAACTCGATGGCAATAGCCGTATACACCTGATGGAACGTCCATCGTCCATCAGAGCCACACTACTCGCAACATCATCAGTACTAAATGGCATTTTTAAATTTTAAAAATGAAATTAAGAAACCAAAGATGAAAACTCAGTTTATTAGGTTTCGTGGTCCGCTTGACCAAATAAATTCTTTTCAATTAATTAATCTTTAATTAAGGTTTTGGTTGAGATAAAAAAGTCTGTGTCACAAGCGGGATTCGAATCCACGGTCAAGCGGACCACGAAACCTAATAAATGTATTAAGCAAAATGAAGTATACTTCACTAAAGCTCTCCGTGGCCATTTCATTTGTCGCCGAGAATCAAATAGATTACACGACATTTGAAAAATGGCAAAAAAGAGGGAAAATTCAAAAGGTGGGGTTGAGACGGGAAGTTAGTGTCCGAGTGGATCGAAGTCACGATAGCTCAAGTGATAGAGCAGCCGTGTATTTAGCCGAAGGTCGTGGGTTCGAATCCCGAATGTGACACTGACGTTTTTTATCTTAACCAAAACCTTAATCAAAGATTAATTAATTGAAACTAAACAGTTTATTGCTTCATAATACAAATGAGACTAAACAAACATTTTTAGTAAACATTAAAAAATTATGTTGGATTAAGAATTAAGTGTGTTAACTTTTAATTGATATTCCCAAAATAAAACAGCATAAATAAATATTTATTGATAAAAACGATGA